GGAGAGATAAAAAGTAAATGTTTGGACCCTGAAATTTTCAGAAACCCATTAACTGTGACTGTCCATCCCCGATTAAATACGCGTACTTTAAAAACATATAGGATGTTCTTTTATAAACGATGTTCTTTTATTCATAGAGTGATGTTCTTCCAGGTGTACCATGCGCATGGTACACCCGGGTGTACGAAACTCTAATTGATTTTAGGGGTCAGTTTAGCCCTTAATTTTTATGCATGGTTGAAAAATAAATTAAGAATAATACCAAATTGAAGAACAAGCTAAAAAAACAAATCACAATTTGAGCATGCAAACAAAGGTGATTCGCGTATTGATGATCTAAGCATGATGATTTTTTTGTAAAATTTAAATATCCTTCTTTGTTGCCAATCTATGAAAATACGATACATATAGTTACTTATTTAATTATATTTGATTACTTTGATATCAATGTAGACATCACTAAGGTGGCGTAGTATGTTAGTAGAGAAAGGATAAAAAGGACTACTACTATTTCAAAGATTCTTAAGAGTAAAAAACTGAAAATATAACAAGATATGGCTTTGATTCTCTCCATATCATATTATCATTCAACGATTTGATGTAAGTCGTTATATGCTTTATCTAAACATTGTATGAACACCATGGTGTATTTGTGTGCTTGTAATAGATTCCTTGCCTCATTAGGTTTTCTTACTCCACTCGATTAAAATTACAACTCGATTGCTATAGGGCGAGATAAAAAAAAAAGAAAAAAGGTTGTAATGACAACAAGATTCAATCTCTTATTATAGGTGTCACCTTTAAGATTTTAAAAATTCTTAAATTTCACAAAAATATAGTGTTCTTAGAGTTAGGTGCGTGTAAGCTAGCGTATTTGAATCTACAATATTGTACACAGACCTTCATACTTAATCATATGAGGCAAGATTTCGTTGATAAATAAATTATTATGTATTTAAACTTAGTGGCTTATAAGAGTAGACACAGCAAATAACCACTTGGGGTGGTTATTAGGAGAGAGATTGTGAGAAAATAATAAAATAATGAGGAGAGAGAAAATTTTGGTGGAAAATATTAATAACCTGGTTATTTCAATAACCGGTTATCATAGCTTGGTCATGCAATTTTTTTTTTTGCTTTTTGGTTGACATGGATGGCTAAGATTTTGACACGTAATACAAATATCAATGGTTGAGATTTGCTCTGAATTTATAACCGTTGTAATTTTTGTAACGGCCATAATTTTTAAAATACAATTCTGAAAAAAAAAAAAAAAATACACCAACGGCTCTATTTTATTTTTCTCTATAAAATGAGCCCAATATTGAAGTATTTTGAAACAACTTTTTTTAAGTGAAAATTACTCTTCTTATTGGCAAATTGTGTTAAGATGAACATTCCAAAATCTAACAGAAAAAAAAAAATCCACAAAATCTCATAACTCATCACAGCCCCAAAATAATCCAAATCCTCAACCTTACTATTCTAATCTTCCAATTGATCTCAACTCAGATTTAGATACAAATTTTCAAAATTTTCCGAATTACGGTTCACAAAATCTCAATTTCTCAAATCCAAGTACTTTCACTCCGTTTCCTTTTCAACCACCACAAAATCCTAATTATTCAAATTCTCCAAATGTTATCCCATCTTTTGAAAATATTCAAATCTCTCAAATTGATTCAACATTTCCCATGTCTCAACATTTTTCTATGTCACAAGGTGATGGTGCATTTCCGAGTTTCGATTGTTCATACACATCGAATGCATCAGATGACGAAAATGAACCAGAAGTTGAAGAAGGCGAAGGTAATGAAAGAGGTAATGAAGGAGGCAATCAAGATGGAAGGAAAATTTTTTGGTCAAAAGCTGAAGAAGTGGTTCTTGTGAAGGCTTGGCTTGAGGTTAGTCAAAATAAAAAAACTAACACTAACCAAAAGGGGGATGTTTTTTGGAGGAAAATTGAAGAAATGTATAATAATGTAGTAGGGTTACAATTATTGTTTGTGTCTTAATTAACGACTAATTACATACTAATTAATATCAAAATTGCATTATTTTTAAATTTTTGAGATTTTATCTAATTAATGTATGCTAATAAATAATTATTAATTTTGAATGATTATTACCAAATGCATTATTTAATAATAATAGAATTTAAGTAATAAATTGTGTGGTGGGGTTGGGTAAAAGTAGGAGAGAGAAAATGTATAACCAAAATATTATGGTTAACTATTGGCATACATTGGTTATTAAATAGTTATAAGAGTGGTTATAAGTGAGGTGGAAGATGGATAAAATAATAAAATAATCAATAACCAAGATGGGGTTGGGCAACCATTGTGTATGCTCTAATGAGAGTGAGGAATACCTCAAGTGGTTAAAGCTTCCTTTTCGGTTTTAGGAGATCCTGGGATCGATTTTCACCCCCACCTTTTTTGGCTCTCTAAACACCAAAAAAAAAAACTAAGGCCTTGTTTGGTTCCTTATTTTTATGTATTTCAGAAAAAATAAGTTCATATCAGATCATCGTTACATGTGCGATTTTTTATCGCTAAATAATTACGTAATGAAATTTTTTATAAAAATGACATATTAATAAAATACACCTTAATACGAATCTAACAAGACTCCAATTGATATATTTTTCGTTTACAGATTATCGTATAAATAAGGTCAAAGTTTGGTCAAAACAAACAATCAGATCAGATCAGACTAAATCAAATCAAACCATAAGTAAAAATAAGGTGAACTAACAGGCCCTTAGTGGCTCATAATCATCTAGCTGTGTGTCAATTTGTATTAATCAAGGAAAATTATTACAAAGTTATCTGATAAAACAGTGGGTACTCACTAATTTAATGGATAAAAACGGCAGCAGCTAAGATGTCATGATACATTTATGATGTCATCACCACTAAAGCATGATATATATATACAAGTAGGGGTGTTCAAAAACCCGACCCGTTTGACCCGACCCGGAAACCTGAAGGCCCGCAAACTACCCAATGGGTATTTTTTTAATTTTTCCCATTTTTACGGGTCGGGTAAGTCTAATTTTCGGGTCAGGTAATGGGCCGCACTTTGAGTACCCGGGTACCCTTTAAATACCCGTTTTTTTTTTTTTTTTTTCTTTTTTTTATTTGGTTTTTACTGAAAACATGTAAGGGTAGTGGGTTACTTTTTGCTTTAGTCGCTCTTTGCTCTCCTCTCTCTCTCTCTCCATTCCTTGAGCAATTGAGAGAACTTGAACTCACAAATACTTGGATCTACGACCACATTACCACACCACTCCACCCGCAACCACGACCACGACCACGACCACTCCACGTCTCCACCGCAAACCACTATTCCACCGCAGACCACACCGGTTGCTGCTGCTCCACGCGCGCGACCACAAGCTCGATCTCGACCAGTCTGCCGCAGATCTCACCGCCTGCCTCTATTTCACGGCCTACAAGCTCGATCTCCACTGTACATACTTCTCTCATACGAACATTATCTATTTGGTAAAGGTGAAAATGAGGCTTGCTTTTTTTTTTTTTTTTTTAATAATTAGTTTAGTACTGTAATTACTTATTATGATCCAAATAATATGTGTTTAGTCAAATAATCAAATCACTAAGTCTGAGTTAAGCTAATAAGCTACTTAAGATTATTATATTCACTTAATCACTAGCTGGCTAAGAGCAATTGTCATGCAATAACGCATCGACCGTTGCAAATTCTAATTTATGGCTCAATAAATTTGGTACATGTCTCATAAAAGACACAATTACGGATATTAGGGCTTTAGCATGATTACAAATTTACAATACGATTGATATCAGTATATATTTATGTAATATTGTTATGTCATGTGAAAAGCGTGGAGAAAAGCGTGGAAAATATGGCCATTCATCTAATGGCGAGATGAGATATCTATACTAATTTATTAAAAGACGTTTCTAAAAATATCAATGTATCACATAGTTCCTTTTTTATTGCGTCACGTCACCTTTCCAATATCTTGCCACATCATCACTCAAACAATCTTAACCATTACGCCATGTCACCCAAGCTCATGACGCCATATCATCAACATTATTCCATATAAAAACATAAGAGGATAAGGAGATTCGAACCCTCAACTATGTTATTAATATGTAAAACATTTTATATAAATGCAAACCACAAGATTCAACTAAATAAAAAAAACAGATACTCAAAGAAGAACTCAATTTTGGTTCAACAACAACAATTTCAGTTTTGAAAAGCTTTGAAAAAATTTATCGATTGCACGTTAACAACAGTAGCAACCTGGGACAACGCCCGCACTACTCACTAGTTATTGTTGGTATCGAGTTTTCTTTAAGTAACACTACTTAAAGGGAGCTTAATCGTTTCCCAGAGTAAACTTGTACATGGGGAGCACACACATATATTGATATATAGAACATGTTTAGTCATTTTGGTTTTTAAGTCACTCCAAATCACATAGGACAATAAGAGTAAAATATGCGATCATTGGACACAACTTCGGAAGTGAAAACTAAATAGGAATGGAGGGAATATACTTTCGCCGTTCTTTTTTACTTGAACAGCTTTGACTTTTACACTATTCACCACCCCTTCTTTTACCGATATAAGGAAAAACATATTCATGTAGGATATTTTTGAATTCGTCTCAATAAAAACTATCATAATATATAACTTTTATAATTTTTAATTATGGAGAATTAAAGTTATTGATCGTTAAAGTTTTACATTGACAAGCATGATAAAAAAAACAGGTTGAATAAAAAAACAAAAGACTGAGGAAGTAACAAATTAGGAAAGGAAAGAAGTGAAGGAAGAGAGTGATAGATGACTAGATCACATCATCATACTTCACAAAGGTCCCCTTATTATATTTTGTTGCTTGGCTTATTTGAAGGGGTAATTTCAAATAATTCTTTTTGTAGCAAGCTAAAGTAGAGATGTAGTTTGGTGAATCAATACACGTATCTCCCAATTGTAACTAATTAGAAATAAGCTATGATTAACCGAAGATAAGATGAAGCAATATAACAATAGTATTTGTTCCCAAATATAAGAAAAGTGTTTCCTACGGCTACAAGGACTCGTCTTCTTCTACATGAACAACATTTGCTTCTCTAATTTCGATAAAACCGTCATCACCGGTAACACTCCTATAAACATGGGTGCAGTTCCAGTCATTCGTACACAATGCTCGTGGCAAATGCGCATATACATTACAATATGCCATACTGTTACACACTGGTATTGCATTTGAAACTGGTGCTTATTGAGCATAGACTACACATAAATTTGTAAAAACATCTAAATGATGGCTAAATCTAATTCAGAATGGCACACCATGCTCATAGGTTGGAAAAAGGAGGTCTTTGTCCTGAACACAGGAACCTTTCACGATTTCCAGGGTACCTCAAGCAAGCAACATCCTCAAGTACAATGTGTCATTTACACAGCTAGTAACAGTACGAGGATAATTGCAATCTCTGACTACAAAATCTCATTATCTTAACGGACTTCAAACAGGTGATTGCAGCATGCAGATACCCTATCACAGAAGGAAAAGAAAACAAGGAGAAACCACCATTCATTAATGTTCCAGAAATGCATGTATGAACTTGTGAAAGTATAATCACGAGCATACATCAAACAAAAATAATTCTTAGTTCGAGAAGGCAGTATTGTTCATAGGAAAATTGTCATGTCAAAATTTCCATTTCTAAGACTTTTATTTTACCCAATTGAATCCTATATAACAAACAAGCAGCAACTCAGCAAGTAATAGAGTGAAATGAAGTTAACTTCAAAATCAAGGAAAATAGTCACTAGACTCACTACATTTACAAGAAAGAATTACATAGGTCTCCCTACCACCCCTAAACTGTAAGCTGATAATTCTCTAGTGCTTTATTTATCACCATCTATATCCACAACCCAAAGCTTCTAAAGAGTTATTGCAAAAGGTTATAAGAAACTTAGATTTTACTCGAGACTATTCTCATTTTATGCTTTATATTTATGTCAAACTTGGATTGAGAAATTGCTTCAGTTTCAGCAACAAATCATGGCCAGTTGAGAACCCCTCATTTCAAGATGAGAAGAGAACATTTTCATTTTCAAATTGGTCCAAGACCCCAATCTTGCCATATAACTTTGACTTTAAAAAGCATATTGAGTTTTAAAGTCTGTCCCTAAGTACTGTCACGACAGGAGTTAAGACTTAAATTATAAGTATAGTGTGAGCTTTCGTAACATTGGAAAACTAAATCAGTCAATAAATTACTATCATCCAAAGTAAGCATCTCATATTATGTTTCTCAGACTCTTCAATTTGAAGTATATGTGTCAGATCTTCGCCATCTGAGTGGCTATGGACACTTTACACTTCTATGTTCTTTCAGGACCAAAACACTACAGGTGAGTCTGGAATCAGTACCAGAGTCTGAGTAGAAGAATTACATAGCCACATAGGTTTCCTACCAACTCTACACTGTAATAAGAGTTTAGCCATTAGCCCATTAGTCATTAGCCTCTCAACCAGTGTATTGCTACAGTGATTGGCTGATTGCCAATATGGTACAAAAAGCATGATCTAATTATCTGACTAATAAGAAACTCTAAACAACTAACAAGTAGCTATTGAGCACTTAGTAGATTGACAAAAATGTAAATGATTTAAGCAAGCGAAGCCCCAAAATAACTAGCATGACATTATAATACATTTAGATTTGTATTAGATTCATATTTAACAAAGTGTTTGATTCTGTAAAAGATGAACTCCCAAGAAACCCAACATTTTTACACACAAGGTTATGAAGTAAAGAGATAGATTACCTGATTACAGCGTTATTTGCAACTCATGTTATTAAGCTACAGTTCAAAAGGATTTCTCTCTTGCGTAGGCTGCTCCCATGCACGTAAAAGACCTGCTGCAAATCGAGTTTCAACCATAAAATGCCAGCCATCAACAGATACTATTAACCCAAGAAAACAACAAAAGAAGCCTAACAGGTGAAAGCAGCAAGACACTCAGCTACGTCTAGAGCCTTACAGAATGAGTTATCGTGAGAATTGCTCCCCAAGCCATTGGGACTAAGGCTTGTTGTTGTTGTTTGTGTGGGGGGGGGGGGGGGGGGGGAGGGGGGGTGTGGATAGGTATACTATGGGCACAGCCGCACAGAATCACTATCACAAGCAATAATTAGTGGTTACGAAAGAGTCATAAACTTTTTATCTTCAGAGTATGGGTTATTGAACAAGTGTGAGTAAAAATGGTGTGCCTACAAAAAAGGTCAACAAGCGATGATCGTAAAGCCAAAGCCACTCCAAAGTCTAAGATTCCAAGCACCGAAAAAACAGTATTACTAAAAATCCAAACCTAGAGGTAAGGGTCCCTGCAAATTCAAATTATTTGTCTAGGGAGCAGCTTGGGATTCAGATGGATTAAGCTAAATGCTTCTACATATAAGAAAACAATAATACCAGCAATTTAAATATCTGGCATACTTAGAGGAATTTCTCCCAAGGACATGTAGATTGGATCATCTTCACTGAACATTGCCTGCAATAATCAACACCAAAATAATTAGCCAAATCACCAGCTAGTTATAGAAGAAGCCAGTCAAATAACTAAAGCATACATTCTTATTACAGCAAGGCAAAACACTTGGTAAAGGGTAGCATATTTTTGGCATATTTTATTCTACATATCACCATAGTCAATAAATAACACTGGAATAATAAGCTATCAATTGAAGAACCAAAATAAAATAATATTCTTTACAAATTTTCATGGAATAGGAGAAGTGGTCAAATAATATTAGCAACAGCTAGCCTTGGCAATCAGTCCTCAATGCCCATTTTGACAGCACAAAGCCATCTAGAGAGAGATGAGAGAAAGACACCTCCTAACAACAGCCTATACAGAAGGGCTCAAGTTATTTGTATATCAGCTTTATACAGTGGTAACAATTCTATGCTGGTATATAGGTAGTCCCTAAGCATACATAAAATATTATTACATTCAAAGCAGGACATCCCCAGGTTGCATCTCCTGTTCTGTTATGTTCCACAACGACCATCTAGTCTCCAAACTAATGTAACACTCACATTAAAAGGGACATCCCCACATAAACAATTACAGAATAAAATAACATAATGAGATCAAACAATATTTTCAAAGATTAGGGGTTGTACCTCGCCATGATTAAGGCCCATGCCATTGTGCAGAGAATTCATATCGGGCTGAACGGAAGGACAATTTGGGACATCATTACCGAGCAACTCTGAGATCATGAACCCATACCCATCCTGACCATCTGGATTCTCAGTAGCATTTTGTGGATTTTGAAAGCTCTCCATGCTTGTGATGCCAGCTTCAGTACTGCTCATAGATGAAATATAGGCAAACATCTCATCAACACATGAAATTCTATGGCTTCACATGCAACAGTGGTGCAATATAAATTTTGAAGGATATTAATAAAAAAAATAATGCTTTTTAGCTGTTGGGGGGGAAGGGGGGGGGGGGGAGTTGTAATAACCACAATGAAAAAAGAAAAGTGATAGGTGGAAAGAAAGAAAAAGGCCATGGGAATAACATTACTTTTTCATGGATGTATCTGAGCTCTTGCATCCCTCCAAAGACGTACTTTCCAAATCAATTATTTCAATATCTTTTCTCACTGATCCAGAGCCATTGAATTCATTAGTTAAACTGCAACTGTTCCTAATGGACAAATCGAAATCAACAGGTAACTCTCGACTGGAACCTTGAATTGTGGGATACAACAACGCAGGAACTTCATGATTCTCATGCAAATCAGAGGCTTCCATAAGATTGAGGTCGCAAATTTTAAATGAGTTTGAGAGCAGCTGCTTCTCTCCTTGGTTTAAATCGGATTCAACACCCCCTTTCAGAGGCAATGAGACATTGGTAAAGCTCTCCTGACTAGCAGACACATTAAAAATGTTAATGGCCCTTTTTACTGGTGAAACAGAATGCTTGTCCCTCAGATCTGAGAGCTGCGAGTACTCATCACTTTGAGCAACAGAAAGCCATTGTTGCTTAGCTTTCTTTGCTCCCTCCATCATATGATCCACCTCCATGGGTCGTTTCTCACCTCTATCTTTAGCAATAGAACTGCACATCCCAAGCTCAGGCAATTCACTAGTTTTTTGTTCATAAGAAAATGTTTTATCAGTAAAAGGCAGAGATTCCATGAATTTTTGCTGATCAGCAGGGTACGTAGGGCTCATAGCTCCTGCCTCACTGAAAGAGTGATCAGATACACCAAGGGACTTGGAACTAGGAATCTCTTCTGAACCATTCATGGTTTCATATTTTTGGCAGTCAAGAGAATCAGATCCAGTCTCAGTGATATTGTTCTCCTTGCTGAACAGAAGTGGATCACTGTCTGGGTTGCTGCTCATCAAAGGAGAAGCATTGCTCTTTTCTTCACCTTGCTGAATAACCATGTTATCCACAATAGCATCTTTCTCCTTGTCATAATTCTCAGTGCCAGTTTTAGTCTCCTTAAACACGTTGTTCACTGCATCAGAAGTTTTCACTACCTCTTTATCATCCTTGTTTTGGACCAAAGAATTCACCGTTGATTCTAAATCACCAAGAGAACATCCCTTTGCAATCTCATCCTGCAATTCACTTTGCCTATCATCTTTGGCAGCAGGCTCAGCTGAATGAGAATTCTGAACAATGGCATCTGTATCATTGGTAGTATCCTTGTGAAACGTATCATTATCAACTTCCATGGTCCTTGAAGGAACAGCATCTTCACTCAGCGATCCTTCCTTTTCATTCTCACGGCTCCAGTCAGAACTATAACTCCTAAATGGTCCAAGTCTTCTCCTTTCCCTTGAGTTATTCCTTGACATAGTCAGATCCAAATCTGTCGAGGACCTTCCACTACTATCCCTATCTAACGAATTATGAAGATCCTGTAATTCCCCTAAGTTGTTTTTCAAACTGCCATTCTGACATTTACCAGAGACAACATTTGAGGACAACAATCCACGCGAAACCAAATAATCAACCGCTAATTTACCAGCCTCGATGAAAAGATCGCCTTTACGGGATGGCTGCGGTGATGAATGACGCGGAGATGGTTGAAATGATCTCGGTGCCCCACGCCCAAAACCACGGTTGAAGTTTCGTGGTTCTGAGTTGTAAAACCCTGATCCTGTCATATTAGACCTGCATCCATTCACACATATTAACATACACTAAAACCATATTACAAACTGCTCTTTCTCAAATTGGTAGCACAAATTTTAACCCTAAAAAAAACCAGAATTCCAATGCCTCTAAATCAAAGGTTGGCATATGACAATTAAACTTATAATCACTACACTAAATACTGGCAAATCCGAAAACAATATTATGATCTGGGATAGTTTGAAGGTTCAATATTACATCATCAACAACAAAAAATTGACCTAATTTTGGAGAAGCGACATTAAATGGCAGATATCACCCAAAATTAGCAATATTGACCAAAATAAAATTGGGGAATATCGAAAAAATGACAGAAATGGAATAATCTGAAATACCCAGAAGATAATTTGAAATTTATGCATCAATAATCACTAAAAACACCAAAATAGCGTTGAAACAAAGCAAAATCAGAATACCCACAACAAATTAGATGCAAAAAATTTTAAAAAATAAAAAGTTACCTCATCTTTGATCTTATTAAGGAAGGAGAAAGAAGCTTCAAACTTGAAATGTCTCCACAATACTATCAAATTCCCATTAAAATCAAATCATAAAAGAGAAAACCCAGCTAATTAAAGTGGAAAAATCAGCAGCTGGAATAATAAAAAGGGATGAATTAAAATCAAATCATCAAAAAAAGATATAAAACTCCCACTGAAATAAATGCAGAATTCTGGAGGAGAGAGGAAAGTGGGTAATTAGGTTGAAGAAGAAGGATTGACTAATTTGATAGGATTTTTTTCTTAATTTTTTGAATTTATAATTTCCTTTAATGGGGTTTTTTATGGGTTCGAATTAATTTTTTGGGAGTTTTATTTTATTTTTCCTTGATCGATGTACGAATCTTAGGGTTCATCCAGTAGCTAAAACTTGTGAATTTTCGTCTTAAATTCAATTTTTTCTTTTACCCACGTGTTTTTTCCTTATCTTTTTTTGAGATGGAAAATACTTTTGTTGGAAGCATATCAGAGCATAGCGCGTATGGGTTAAGAAAGCAAATAGGAGGGTAGTAGTGTAAATTACCAAGCTTCATAATTAAAAACAGTAAAAGACTAACTTTCTATCTCCCGTTATATTTTAAAATGTAACAGTGCTTGGTTTTGTGAATATGAAAATAATTTTTTTTTTAAAAGTGAACTTGTATAATATTCGTTTGGAGTCAAGCAACTTCTCTCTTCTTCTCTCTCCTCTCTGTAGCTCCCTTCCTCTGTGCCAAAGAAGACGACGAAGGTGGTTCCTGCCGGAGCAACAGAAGCAGAAGTTTGGTGCAGTGGAGTCGTACGAAATCGAAGGGGTAGCTGGTTCGGGTGATTATGCTTGAAACGATTTTGTTGTTATTTAATAAATTCATGTGTTTTTCTTCAATATGAGAATGTCGGTTAGTTTATGAAATTTAGGGTTATCAACTTAATATAGCGAATTAGGGTTTAAATAATCTGTAAATTGTTTGTGTAACCTGATATTTAATTGGAATGAGTTTGAGTTGTGGTGTTCATATAAATTGTTAATAGGTTTGGCGATGAGCTGAGTTGTTGTGTTTGAATTATGAATAATTTTAAAATTTTGGGTTGCGGTGGTCGATTGTACATACTACACTACTCCAGGTTAATTAATTTGCTTTCATCCACAATTTAAGTATATGTTTTTCATGTAATTTATGTGCAATATGCAGTTTTTCCAACCTTTTCAAGATTAGGTGAACATCATTAAACATGTCCTGAATTATTTGGGAAGATAATCTTTATAGTTTGTTTGCTTAGGCCCAGTTATCATCGCTAGTATTATTGTTTGTCCAATTATCCTCTTTGTTTGTTAACCTTGTAATATTTTACAATTCCCACCTTTTAACCTACTATTTGATTTAAAAGTCTACTTATCAATTTTAGTAATTCTTTAAACTTGTTTGTAGTGTACTATGAAATGTATGGTGGTACGAAGGGAGTAGTATGATTATTCGACTTGTTTGTAGTTTAGCATTATGAATAATTTTAAAATTATGGGTTGTGGTGGTCGAATTAATGAGCATGTAAGTATGGATTGTTGTATATTTTTTTGGCTTTGTTAAATTATCAAGGTATGAGTGCTGTGTATGTGAATAAAATGTATTTAAAGGTTGAAAAAATTATATGTGAAGAGTTAAGGGTTGGTTGAAATGGTTTTATGTAGTTGGAAAATCCCATTTATGTAGGGTTCATTTGAACTTGGCAGGAGGAAATAATGGCGAGGAAGAAGAAGAGATCAGAATTGGTGAGTTATTTTTGGCTGAAACTAATAGATTGTGTGTTTGGTTAGTGATGGTTGTGTGGTGTAGTTGATTTATGTTGTAAATTTTTTGTATGTGTATAGGCGAGGTCTAAACCCGTAATGAGTCGGGTGAATGAGGCGTCTAAAAAGAAATCTGTAAATAAAGGCAAGAAGAAAGTGAAACATGTTCCTGTTTTCGAGGAAGAGGAATTACAGGATTTTGAGGATGTTGTTTCTGATGATTCTGGTGCTGAAGAATCTGGTTCTGATGATGGTGGTTCTGAAGATGGTGATTCTAAGGAGGACGTGGAGGAGGGTGAAGCTAGTGAAGAAGAAGCTGAACCTAACAGAGATGGTAACCAGGATCTCCTGATCAGGTTATTGCAAGAAAAAGTTGAAAAAGGGAAGCACAAGCGAGGTACTGGTGCTTAGAAGCAAACAACAAAGAGGGCCAAGCAAAAGGTATTGCATGTTAGATGATAATAATAAAAGGTTTTTGACTGAGTAATATTTGGATGGATAAATTACATGTATAATGTTTTGTGCAGGTTGACAAGACAAAGGGAGAAGAGGTGAAGGAGAAAGGGGTTGTCGTTAAAACCCAATCAAGAAATACGCAAAAGGTACTGTCTCAACCTTTTTTGTCGCCAAATTTTTGATATGGAAATGCTTGTATGTGGTTGGTCCTTTGTTTAGGTAGGTGGGAAAATGTAGTGAATAAATATGCATGTGAAGATGAGGACAGTTTTATAACATAGAATAATTGTTAATTCTAGTTGAGTTATAAGTTTGGTAATAATATTGTGAGTCCTTAATTGGTTTTGAAAGATTAAAATACCTCATAAAACATTCACAAGTAATTGTAGTGGGAATGTATTGGTATTGTTTGTTTAGCTAGGTTTTTTAGATAATGAACAAATAAAGGCATGAACATGTTGAAAATGGTGTAAAATGGAGAAATTGGAAATTACAGGTGAGTTAGAAGTAGTTGTTGTAACAGAATGTATGTATTTTCAATAATATGTTATATTAATGTAAAGGGGTTGTTAGGAAGGAGAGATGCAGTAATTTAGAGTAATTCAGTTGTTAATGGAAAAAGTGGAGTTATTGCAGTAACTAAGTCAGAAATTATGAATTCGAGTGAAATACGAGGACTACAATCGGTTCATGGTCTTATTTTGTCAGCTTAATTATTTTTTCTTGTCTCTGGTGTGAATTGATAAAAATTTATGTCCTTTGAATGTAATGTTGTAGGCCCCTAATTTTCATGGTGTGAAGGCTTTCGCGACAGCGGTGAAGAAGTTTGATGACTCTAGGAAGAAGCTTGTCATAGAAATGGGTTTTGGAGGGTTGTTAAGTATACTCCTAACTTTCACTAGTAGAATAACACAAATGCGCACCGGTTCAAAACCCCTCTAACGCACCGGTTTTGAACCGGTTTACATTTGAGGGATGCCAAAAAAAAAAAACTTTAGCACCGGTTCAAAACCGGTGGCAATTCTTAGTTTTAGCACCGGTTCAAAACAAAGACACAAAGAATGGAGGAGTATTTGATCCCTAACATCTTCATCATATGTCTTTTCCAAATCCCCAATGGTGGTTGGAGCCATCAAAAGTTAAACCAGAATTAAAGTAGTGACTACCTGGCTCTGCCTCCTCGTCCGAGCTGCACGGGTCATTGTTTAATTCAACTTGTTGTGGAGGCCATGATGGTGGTGGTGGAGCCTGTAATTGCAAACAACATTTATTTCACTAAATAACCTACATTCCAAACAATATTATAAAACAAACAAATTACCAGGAAAACAGCATCAATAAGCAACCCATTTGGCATACTCGATCAGTGCAAGAAATTAGCCCTTAGCATATTTGGTTTCCAAAACTTCATAACTCCACCAAGCCTTGAATCCGGACCACATATCTCCACTTGATATTCACCTGGTAGGTTACGAACAACCCAATTGTTCATGTAATGTTTACCAATACGAGCTTCCAAAATGATGACCAACAGGGGGTTGATTTTTCGTGTAAGGTGGCAAAGTGCTCGCCAAAGGAGGGCCTTGTGCACCCTCGGGCGTTCCAAAATAGAATGAGCGACCCACGATCGACTACAGCATACTCTCGGGTAGAGACAAGATGCTCTACTCTTTAGCTAACACGGTTTTAGCGTTTACGAATGGGCCAACAATGGTTAAGCCTCGGCTTCAAGGTACAACCTTAAACCTGGAACCTCAGGTGGGTGTTGGTAGTATCGACCGTCATGATGTGGAGGGTATCCGTGAAGGAGCTAACAAATATGTGGCGACAAAGAATGGGAAAACTGTAAGCAACTATGGAGTCGGTGTTAAGATTGGACTTCAAGTCAAGTGCTTCCTCTATCTCATGTGGTACTGTAAGCGAGGACGACGAGGAATAGAACCTCTGTATCAGCCAATACAACATGACACAAGCTCCCTCATTGTAGCAACCTACCAAGTCCTCTACAAGAGGAAGGTGTCCCAAAATCAGGCTGCCATCTTGTAGAAGCATGTAATCAGTTTGGAAGCACATTGATTGGAGGAGATGTTCTCTAATGGATTGCACAGGCTGGTATATCTCATTTACCATGTTGTAGTTGCTCCTAAAAAACTTCACTAAATTCAGGTTTATTTCGGACACCTCCCTCAGGTTTTTTTGAAAGTATATTATTGGTTTATCTGGGTGGGGTAACATTTGGTAACTTGAGGTAGAGAATGGAGAGTGGTTGACAATGGTATTTCCGACCATTTGAGTACCTTGTAATCGGGGAAGGGGATGGAGATGAGATGAAATGGGAAATGGAAGGCAATGGAGGAAAACTTAATTTTTTGTGATGAAATACTTTGAAATTTTTTTAACCTTGGAAATACCGAGTTACCGCAGTCACTAATAGGGTGCAGAAGTTCCCCAAAGAGTTGTCTTGTCAAAAGAAGCACAAAGTCTGGGAAATGGTACAAGATAATCACCGGTGGTACATTTGATTTTGTATTTGCTTGAATTAAATGTACCATTGTATGTATTGTTTTAATTTTTACCTTCAGTTACGGTGGTGAATGTTCACCCTGTTACAAGCTACATGGCCTAGGTCTAGTACTATGACACAGAGCTGTCATTTCAAAAGAAACACACATTCATTCCAGTGGCATCTATATCTACCATTAACAACATTGCTATAACCATTCCGTATATTCTGTACCACTATATGACATTTGTATAAGGCCAAATTAAATGAAAGTTACCTACTATCCATTATAACTAATAAAGCTTTTATTATTCGGATAACTCTGAATTGAATATTAATTGATTTTTACCACGGTAACCACTATCTAATACAACACCTCTACTCAATTCTAACGTGTAAGTTCCAGTGGAACAATTTATATTCACAAACATACAGGAACACTTAATGTAATGGTACAGTTGTTGTACCACTGGAAGTAACGAAACTAACACAAAGTAGTTGGGAGTGAATTTAATGCATGTTGATAGTTGCGAGTATAAGAAAGGGCAAGTATTAGTTCATGACTGGTTTCCTTGGAGTAACAGAAGTTGTAAAAAAAAAAAAGGGTAGCCAAAGAAATAAGAGAATGGTGGCTGACAAGGGAGTGATTGGTGATAAGACCCCAAGGCGCCTTATGAATGTTGAATATTTAGAGTGTTGATGGTTGCGCGATCGCGACTATGAAGGAGCGCCCACCTAAGTTTGGAGCGGCCGCGCAGAGAGCGCGCCTAAACCGCGTACCTC